CCTCGAGGCCTGGAATTGAATAGCCCTGGTTTAGTGTCTTGCCCAAGGACACGACGACTACGACAGATGAACCAGCAACCCTCTAGTTATGAGGCAGGCCCTTAGCTCCTCTGCTAGTGCAGCACCCCAGAAAACAATCCAGACACGTTTTTCTGTGTGGCTTTGGTGTCAATCTGATTCAAGATGCCGGCTACAGCCACAGCCTTGGTAAAACGTGGTGTTCTAGTATCTGAAGGTCATTTGTAAAACATGCATACAAGGGCTAGCAGATTGCACCAGATCTTACAAAAGATTGTGCTACATTTAATTTCAACATTTAGTCCAAAATGGCTCAAATGTTATTATTTCTCAAATTAGTCACAGCCTCTGAAAGGCAGCAGCTGTCATGAATTCCTTCAAAGGACAACTTTACTTTTTAGGTTTCCTTCTGAGTGATGAAGCTTAAAGATGATGGCCACCACACACCTTCATGCCAACCCTGAAAGAACCTCCAACAGCATGTAGCTCCACCAAGAGCTGCAGCTCTGTGCATTTAGAGCTAAACGCTAGTCCCACAGCCTGCAGACAGCATGCTCAGAACGCTGTTTTCTCGTGAGTAGTAGTGTTTAGTAGATAGGTGTCATAAAAAGTTAGGTGCACTCTATCTGACAGACTCCCAAAAGGTTCACTTCATTGTGTCACCATCCAGCGTGTCCCTTCCCGGTGAAGGAAGTTTGACACATCATTGCAACATTCCTGAGCTGTTTCCTGCTCGACCAAACCAACTAGCAAGCTCAGCTAAAACCCAGACGGAAGCTGAAGGGAAGGCGCCAGACAACATTTAAAATCTATACATCAGTGCTGATAGAGGAGTGGGGGTGTGGAGCGGGCAGAAAGGGAGAAGAAGGGGCGGAGCACAAAGAGAGCCATGGAAACACAGCGAGGAGGCTGGTTTCTCCTGGTTTGCTGGAGGCTTGTCAGCTCTCCCTCACACTCTGACTCCGACTGTCAGCTACTGCTGTTCCCACGCCGTTTTCATCGCTTTCTCGTTTTCTGTCTCAGTAACCTTGTCTTAACAAGGACAGAAGTGGTTTTTGAAACCTAATGAGTTGTGCTGAGAGGATTTTTGGTTCATACGGACTCAGCTGTGGCTACAATGTAGCTCATCATCATCAGTGTGTGAATGGGTGAAGGACTGCAGTGTAAAGCACTTTCCCAGCAAACGCACCCATTTGAGCCTCCATGTGGGAACTCTCTTGGTAAAAATTTGGCCCACGAAGGGTCGCCCACTGTGGGACCCACAGCCGTTGGGACATAGGGCCCACGTGTCCCGTCATTTGTGGCCACACGGGCGAACAGGGCTTGGTCCGCGTATGTGGGCTGCCACCGTGGCCCTGCTTTGGCCCATCACTGTGGGCCCCTCATGTGCCCTACATTTCACAGCAGTACCCTGGCATGTGTGGGCTTCCCACCAATCACCGTTATCCTGAGCCACCGCTGCCACCCCAGACACAGCCCACTAAAGCCCATGTTGGGTCCAAACGGCCATGTTTGCTGGGTTATAGCTTGTTTTACAAACAATCAGGCCAACACGAAAGACTGCAAGCAGTGTTTCTAAAACACCATTAGCTCTAGTAATATGCACCAATCACCTTTAAAAGACCAAGCTCACTCATTATTTTCAACACATCTGCAATGCTCTGTAGTATAAATGGATGCCTTGTGGGAGAAAAGCTCTGAGACTCCTGTTTCAGGAAGTAGACGTGAGCCAGAGGTGGGGGGGGGGGGGGGGGGGGGCAGAAGACAGCAGGATAGGGAGTCTTATTTCCTGATGTTTGGACATCTCTCTTCTGATTGGCTAACAGCAACGTGACTCTACTGACTCTGTGGGAGGAGTCTGTAATGTTTTATCACCACAAATAACACAAGCATGGAAGTTTTGCTGTGTGGTGGAGTTGCTAATGCTAACGGTTAGCTTCTACTAGCAGTGACTTTCTCTGCTGTTTCCTGGACGCTAAACCAACAACAGCCTTCCCCGTCGTGAGTCAGGATGGATGAGTCCATGAATGTAAAGTGACAGTGTGACGTAGATCTGTCAGGATTTTCTAATCCTAAAGTTTCACCGTCTGTTTTCGATCAGAAGCTACTGCAGGAGATAGGTGTAGGAGACTATTTTCATGGTCAGCCTGCATAAAGACTTAGAGTGACCCGTTAGAATCAGAAATAACAAGAAAAACACATCTTCTCTGTGAACTTGGGCTTTAATGACCTGATAGGCCAATTATCATGAAGGAATTCTGACTCCTGCTGCAGACCTTAACTCTGAAACTACAACATCCCAACTTAACTTCAGATGCATCACATTTCAGAGCTAAAGACTTTGGTATGTTAACAGATGCACACTAGAATCAGAAGAGAGAGAGAGTGTCTGAAATCCAAATCAACGCCTTTATTATGCCAAAGCAAGCGAGGCTGTTATTTTGTGTTCTCACAAACAGCTTCCTTCTTCCTCTTCTTCTTCCTCTTCCTCTTCCTCTTCTTCTTCTTCAAAGAATTAGGCAGGCTGGACACCTAAAAGGCGTATTGCTGCCACAACAACCACCCTCTCCGCCAAGTCTGCACAACCCACCACACAACAAGCACACGAACACCCCCCCCCCCGTACACCGCCCAACCACCGCCAATACAACCCCCCCACACCCGTACCCCACAGGGAGACTCCTCCCTCACACATTCCCCCTCCCTTATCATCATCATCCACCACATTGGGCGACTCTCGGCCCCCTGTAGTCCTGGAGCTCCCAGTCCCCCGCAAGCACGCAGTCCCCCAGACTTCCTCAGGGGACACGTCACCGAAGCCCAGAAAGATCCCTGCAGCCGCAGACACCTCGCAAGCCACATCAGACGTGTTTGATGCCACAAGCTTCACCCTCCACAACACTGTCTCTTATCCCTCACTACCACCACCCCCTCATCCCCACCACCAGTAGACTGAGACCCAGCACAAGGCCCTGACACTCCTCCACCCCAAACCCCCACACAACGCACCGCCTCAGCGTAAGAAACCTTATGCTCTGCCTGATTCTCTTCCACTGGTGTCCTAGACGACGCACAACCTCTATACGCCGCCTGATGAGCTCCACCACAATTACAACAGCGGAGCGGAAGATCACAAAGCTTGCCCTCATGGTCACCCCCACACCTCCGACACCTCAACCCCTCCACACAGACTCCGGCCACATGACCAAAGCCCTGACACTTAAAGCACCTCAAGGGAGGCTCCTCGTAGGCCCATAACTGGGAAAGTATTGGGCCATTCCCATCTGTACCGGGTCGGCCCGGGCCGGGTAGCGTAGGTTGTTTACATATCTGGGTGGCCTGGTATTTTTCCGGGCCAACCAAGGCTCATTCTCAGCCCTCTTCTCGAGGGGGTCTGCTTCAGGCCGACCAGGGCCAACACACCCACTGCTGACAGCAAATTCACACCTTCCATTAGAGCAAGCCTCTGATTGGTGGGTAGAATCAGCCCACATGGGCTTAAGGCAAGGATGTGTGGAATCAACCGGGCCAGGCTGGGGCCGTCTGGGGCTACCCGGCCCGGGCCGACCCGGTACAGATGGGAATGGCCCATTTGATAGCCCAACTTGACATGAGCCGGGAGCTCCACTGCATCAAAACTAAACAACGGAGTGGACCCACGCTTATCAAAACCCAAACGCCACACCGCCTCACCTCTCAGGGCATCCACCACCTCCATCTCAGTAACGTCATTAGAGACACCGTAAACCACCCCTTAACCAACCCTCCAGATCGTGATTCCGAGACGTCGACACTCACCCCCCAAGATCTTCTCAAGCTCCAGGGCCCGGTAGAGCTGGGCCTTCATCCTACAGACCACCACCAACAACCCACCAAAAACCACCGTTGCGTCTTTCACATCACCAATCATCCCTCTCAGCTCCCTGGACACCGCCAACGGGTTATTGGTAGGAAAACGTGCCCCACCCGCCGCACGGACCACAAAGCCCTCCTGTGCAGTCATCAGCTGCTTCAGCTGCAGATCCACATCACTATCCAAAGCGCCATCACTGCCCCCACGGTCCCGCTTTGCCGTCCCCGGCACAAACGACTGAACAGCCTCACTTGCTCCCCTCCGCCCCATCCTCTGCCACAACTGAGGCCAAAGCGGAGCCGGACCGCCGTCTTACCGGGCCCGTACAGGCCGTCAGCTGACGACCCGAACTTCCCCTGAGCCTAAACTGAGCTGACAACCAAAACCAAAACACCTTCTCTTCTGTCTGTAACAGCGAGGCGAGGCGAGGCAGTGATGCTGGGCTGTGCTACTGAGCCACAAACAGCCTTCCTACAATGGCAGAGAATGAGTCAGAGCAAAAAAAACTGAAATCAGAATAAATCCAACGCAGCTGTGCCATCATGCAGAAGGAGAGGCAGCAGGCGGTCTGTCTTCTTCATGGCTTTATTTGGGAAAATCTTAGTATCCATCAGAGAGGGAGGGAATGGTCACCTACACACACATGGCTTTTAATCGTATATATCTTAAATAAACCGTGCTCAGAGCTTTGATAAACCATCCCCATGACTCATTTCTCCAGTTCAAATACACGGCCATCTGCTGTGGCTGCTCAATTCCTCCCAGTGTGTTTTCTAAAAGCACGCAAAGGTTTCACTCCTCTACACAAAAGCATTTTTCACTGGATCCTCCCCAAGAATCTGGAAAGGATATTCCTGAGGTTTGGCTCCTGCCGATGCATGCCCATATTAATCCAGGAGGAGCAGAAGCTCCAGCAGCTCCTCCTCCAGCCCCACACTGAGGCACGCCGACCCTCTGACAGATGATTCACACAGCCTGGCCTCCTGAGCTGGGCTGCTGATTGGTGGTTGGCTCGCGGTGACCCAGGGAGATGGTGACAAGGTGCTGGCACACGCACAGCTCCAGGGAAGGACTACAGAGTCATGCAGCACAACCATGCCTCTGATTCCTCTCCTGCATATCTACAGAGCCCGTGCCAGTGCAGCGCTGCTTCGTTAGCTCATAGGAGTAAGGGTGTGGTTAAGAATCGTGGCATCCAACAGAAAGAGCGCTTCCTAATCAGTTCCACATGTTCAAACCCTCTGGACCAAAAGCTAAAGGACAAATACTTTATGATTATGACAAACATATAATAAAATCCATCATCACTCATTTCAACACTGAAATCCCAAGGTGACCTCCCCAGAAAGACTGATTCATGTTTTCTGACCAGCAGAAATCCTTCAGTAGCTCCAGGTTTTATCTTAGATTAAAAGTTGCTAAACGACCAGACGACAGCAGGAGACCCAGCAGGATTAACGAGGACAGGCCTTCAGGAAGACAGCATCGTTACAGACACATCACATAAAATCCGGTTGTGATCACATTTAAGGAAAGAACAACCTTTCTGCCGGTTGGACAAAAGACTTTGGATGAATAAATCCAAAACTAACAGCTTTAGGAAACTTTTTACCTTTAATTACATGATAAAAACCGAGCTAAATATCATTAACTCTGAAAAATAAACAAAACTTGAAGGTAGCTTACCTCATTTTTCAATTTTTAAACAGGATAAAAAGTACTCAGGTTTATTTTTCAGGACATGACAACCCTGAGAGGATTAATCGTTCAGACACCCTGGGGGTCTGCGGCTCCTCCCTGCTGGCCAGGAGACCCCGCGGGCACCGTGGTGAGAAGTGCCGGTGTTTCTGAGAGGATTCACTTCCCTTACTGGTCCCTTCAGAAGGGTCACACATGTGCATCACCAACAGTGTAATGAGAAAACTTACCCACTGAAGAACTTTGATGAATCCCAGTGGTTGTTTGATTATGGTGAACTGGCCCTGGGCCACCAGCTGTCAACGGAACAAACCAAACCATCAGCAGGTGAATTATTAATGATTCAGTCAAACTTTGGTTCATTTTAGGGAAATTAGTCAGCAGTTTTTTTAAATGTGAACCACAGCCCATCAGTTTTCCTCTTAGAGACAACGAAATGTGCTCTAGGCTTGATGCATTTGTTATTCTGGTCTTCATCATGCAAGGTGATCCCACATCTCAGCCCCTGCACACCTGCAGCAGCGTGCAGGTGTTTCCAACAGAGCAGAGGAAACTGATTCAGCTGCTTCTGCTTTCTATTCGTGAGGCTATGGAAAGCTGCAGGAGTAGAGCGGGTTGATATTACCTCCAAAGGCTGAGAGGGAGAGAGAGAGAGAGAGAGAGAGAGAGAGAGAGAGAGAGAGAGAGAGAGAGAGAGAGAGAGAGAGAGAGAGAGAGAGAGAGATATGCTGCCAGCATTACAATTAGACAAAGCTGATTAACTGTCTGTTTGCTCTGTTGCAGCACGCGCCGCTCCAGAGCAGCCATTTTATTTCATTACGAGCAAGATCCGGCGGAAAGCGCCTTTAATTGCGGAAGAGGGGGCATTTGTGCGCAGGTGAATGCGACACCGCAGTCAGAAGGCGGTAGGACGCGCAGTGTGCGCCAATAATGACTGCACAGGAGGGATTACTGATGCTCCTATCGGGCCCAGTTCGGTCAGAACCAGAACCGACCGTGATGCGAAGCATCCATATTAAACAGCTGACGCCCCCCCCCCCCCCCCCCCATGTCCGCTGGACCCCGGATGCTTCAGCCAGATCCAGAGAGGAGCTGCCGGAGGACGCCGGCCGGGCCTCCTGAGGAGCCGAATCACGTCCTCCTGGTGTTACCGGAACCACGGCGGCCTAATTGAAACACGAGCAATCAGAATCAATTAGGAGTCTCTGGGGATGACGGGGAGGACTGTCTCCTGTCTCCGTCCTCTGCTGCAGCGCAGCGGGACTCTGGACAACCTACACACTTGAGTCAGCCAGCGGGCCGCTCTGCCACATCTACTGCTGCATCAGCAACGCAAACACAATGCACACTTTACACCGGGCTCTGCTGCTTTCACCGACCCGACCGTGTTTACCTATGGATGTCTAGATGCATGTTTAAATCACTAATGCTCAAAGCGCTGCGGTAAGCCCCTGAGGTCGGAGAATCTCTGCGTGAAAACCTTTGAACAATCCTAAAACGTTTAATAAATCAGGAATTAACGTGACTTTAAAAACCAACGAGAAGAATAAATGAAATAGATGATTTCCTCCCAAAGCCTTACCTGGTTTACAACATCCATCTTGGCCGCGCGCTCGCTGATAAGAGGATCAGAGGGGCGGAGGGAGGGAGGCGTCTCATCCGGAACAGCACGGGGGGGAGGAAGGCGCACTGGCGGAAGAGCTTAGCTGCGTCACGAGCTGGGCGTCCTGACGCCAGAACAAACGCTGATCCAGGAGTAGACCTCTCTGACCAATCACAGCGCAGCTTTATTCTAGGCCCGAGGGGGTTATAATAAAGAGAGAAGCGCACGGAGACCGCGCACGCCAAAGTGGACGGAAGAAGTAAATATGGGGTGGGGGTAAATAGCCTGGCATCGGCTTAGAGGTGGGTTTCCCAACGAGGAGGTTCACTAAAATAAACATTTGTGTACGTAAATAAGTAAAAATTCACAGAAAAGCACCCGAGCAGCTGTGTGGGTAGGTCACTGATGATGCTAATGAACCGTGTTAGAACTCTGATGAAGAAGTGGAAATGCCGGAACCAAACCACAGTCTCCAGAGACACGCAGCACATACAAACTTCTGTTCGTCACCTTGCTGCAAACGGTGCAGTTGAAAGGTTTCACGGTGCATTCAGTCTGCCATTATTGAAATGTAACCATGGCAACAGACTGTGCCAAACTTACTACAGATCTGCCGTTCCACACCTCGCCCTACCACTGAAGTGCCTTCTTCTGGGTTGCACTCTTGCTTGCATGTTCTGCCTCCTGCTGCTTAAGAAAATGCTGCTGCTCGTCACGCTCTCTCCAGTCTCCCCATTCTGTTCAGCCCTGTGTCCATGCTCCCACCTACCTCTCGCCTCCCAGTCACCCAAGGTCCCAGCTCCTCCTGTATTTAAACCCTGTCGGTCCTGTTGGTCTTGTCGGTTCATTGTTTCTACGTCCGGCGTGTTCTCAATTAAAACCTTGTTAAACCATCCCTGCCTGCCTGCCTTCTTCACCTGCATTTGGATCCTCACCTCCGCTCACCTCACCTGCGCTCGTGACGCTGCTGATGTGCCTAACTCAGTTTTTGCTCAACAGTACAAGATGCACACTAATAGGAACAGGTAGTGGAGCACATGTTCCCACTTTCTGAGTGGGAACATGTGCTCCTGTTTGGATACTGACATGCTTTAAAAGAACACCAGCGTTTCTCTAAACCACGGCACATCAGAAAAGGTTGGCTTGAGAAACGTATCGGGACGCGTCACACTTGACTCATTCTGTGTTCCTGCAAAGAATGCTGCTCCAGATTTCCTTTCGTTGGACTCGCTGAATGCAGAAAGACCTGCTGTGGTTCCGTCACGCTGGGCTTGGTCCTCCGGTTCGTGTGAGACGGCCCGCCCGCGGGTTACAGGATCATGAAGAAAGCAGCAGCTCCTGGACACTTGCAGGTCTGGGCCACATGTTTATACTCCTTCATGCGTCAAACACTGGAGCAACAGGAGTTAAACAGTCAAAACTGGGAGCATCTGGTTTCAAACACTAGCTGGGCTGTCTGGTTATTTTATTTCATTTCCCACAAAGCTCCCAGCATTCCACCCCGGATGGAGTCCTCCTGTTGCGCACCAGGACTTTAGCGCCCTTTATCTCCTCTCCTCCTTTAGCTGCTTTTAGTAAATGTGATCACTCTCACCTGATCAGCTTTACAGAAACACGAGACGCACTTATTTATGGAAGTAGCTGTGAGCAGCCTGCGCTTGGATTGTTTTGCATGTTTCCCTCTGAAGGGGGAAGTGAAACCCAGATGTTGTCCATCTTCTGCTCCATTAATCACCAACTCTGTAATTCACTCATTATTTCACCGTGGCCTTTAAACGTCCGTCTTAAAAACACATCTGTGCATGGATGTAATTTTCACTTAACTCATTCACTGCCAGCCGTTTCCTGATCACTAACGGCCTTCGCTGCCAGCGTTTCTCACCGTTTTTACTGTTTTCTTAAGAGTGACAGAACGTTGCGCGCTAGCATGATGTCGATGCCAAAACAACCAAAACAAAGAGGAGACTCACCTCTTACATCAGGAAGAAGCCGCGTGTTTCGAGCGTTATCCGTTCTTTCATAATCCGTTGTCGAATTGTGATCGGCAGACGCTTTTCCGGTTCGCGCCTCACTTTTTTTTTACAGGAACGGCCCAAAACGATCTCCAAACACATGGATGTGTTGCTTCCTGATCATGTGATCTGTGACGTATGCGGATGAAGATCGGCTTCAGGGCTGAGATGTTTGTTCTCTCAGCGCGGGGGCTCGCTCCGATGCTCAGACAGTAAAAAAATGCAAATGACGACTTTAGTCGTCAATGGCAGTGAATGAGTTAAGAAGTGGGGGGGGGACACGGGTGTGTGGGGTGTGTGTGTGTGTGTGGTGGGGATCTTTACAGTATGCTCTAATGGGAAACAGGCTTTTCCGCTTGGTCCTAGAGCTCAACCAGTGTCAATTTAATGTAGTGTAGTATTGTTTTTGGATGGTAAAATGTGCAGGAGTCAAAACTTGACTTTGGAAAAAGTGGGGGGGACATGTCCCCCCTGTCCCCCCCACAAATTACGTCCATGCATCTGTGGCTGAGTAAACCGTGTGGAACCAAGTGAGTTTACGAGGAGATGATCAATCTAATGACACACATTTAAGAAAACATTTTTATTTATTTAGACTGTACAGCAACGCCACTGAAGGCCGGGGTTAGCTTGATGCTGCTCTGATCTAGCTGGAAACGTTTTCTGCAAGCAGGAGAAACATAAGACCTCATCAGGTGTGTGTGTGTGTGTGTGTGTGTGCGCGCACTTGTTTTGGCATTCATAAACCGAGGGGTGTCATTTTTTCCATTATAATAAACAAAAAGTCCTCATTCACTGGACGATTCTCTGTGCTCAAACGGACACAAACACTTCCTCCTCCTGGTTTGGAGACCTCAGTAAGAAACCACACAGTTCATCTCATCAGCCAGGTCGTCCTCGAAGCGGGACAGTGAGCGGCTGGCTCCGCGTGCTATCAGGTCAGCAGCGGCGCTCTCCATCTCGTCCAGGCTCATGTGGCACGCTTCGGCGATCTCCTTCTTGGCAAAGTTCACAAACTTTGGGTCCCGAGCGTAGGCACCGAGCCCCTCGGAGATCAGGATCTGTTTGAATCAGAAGGATTTAGGTGAGCGTGTCCAGTTTCCACCACGGAAACAAGAAACCTCTCCAGAGCAGAGAAATAAACTCTGGAGGTTTCAAAAAGGGTTTTTTTTACAACATTTTTCACAGGAAGCTCAGGAAAACGGGTTCTAGTCAGATCCGGTTCTGAATGAGAACAAAAGCGTGATCAGTAGAGTTTCTGCTTCGGGACTCACCGACTCCACCAGGCTGTCTGCGCTGCCTTTGTCCACGAAGCTCTGGGTGACAGATGGTGGTATCCTCACACTGGTGAAGGTTCTGGTCTGACCCGGGTACCAGCCTGGACGCCGCCCTGCTGGAAGGCTGGCGGAGCTGTCGCTCCACAGCGGCTGACTGGTGCCGCTTTGCTCGTCCACCAGGATCATCGGGGTGTAGATGAGCTTGCCCCTTCGGCCCGTGGGGGCAATTATTCTCGGGAGGGGAGTGGTGCCGGCTGCGGCCGTGTTGGCCCAGGAGGCGGAGGACATGGAGGACACGCTGCTGGGCCGGGAGTCCAGACTGTGCTGAGCCTGACAGAGGTGAAGATTGGTGAGGGAGGAGGAATGCTGAAGCTGCAGGCGTGTCAGCTGATGTTCTACCTGCAGACGAGACCTGGAGGGAGACGTGTTCCCCTGGTAGTTCCCAGGGACCGGAAGGTCATCCACGCTGCTCTGTGGCCTCAGACACTGGAAGTTAAAGGCGGGTTTACGACCTGTAAATAGGACCGAGACGACGCGGTGTTACTCGGCAGCATCACCTTCAGCTTAGTGAGGTCAGAGCTAACGCCAGGGGTGAGGCTTCAGGAGGGGCTGGGGGGGACAGCGGGCCCCCGGCCCAGCTCTGATTTGTTCCGCTAGCGGCTAACGCGTAGCATGTTTTTACAGAGCTGTCTGTCCTCGCCACCTCCATCCCCTCCTGGCACGCTGCCTCCCCTGCTGAGGACAGGAGCACACTGCCGTAACTCGAGGGCCATCACCCCTCCAGGAGGAGAGCACCCCTCCTCCCAGACAGGATCTGCTCGAGAAGCCATCGTGTCCATCAGGACTCAGAGACCGTCCCCTCTGTCCTCCTCAGCTCTCTGGGACCTGACCAGGTCCGATGCTCCACTACTCTGATTACTTCATCACATGTACACTTCTGTACATGAACACTTGTTTATATTTGAATTGTTGTTGTTTCTGCTGTCCGATACATCTACTTATCAATAACATTATTTCATTCAAGCAACGCTTTTCTTACGTCTCCTTTTGTTCTCATGCTGAACGTGGTTGTAGCCATTAGGAGAAACGTGGTCTAGTTGTCCTTGTTTGAACCCACCCACGTCTCCAGGACGTCCTAAACATCTCCATCTTGTCCTTAAAGGGGACCAAACCCGACATGAAGCTTCTCACCTCTAGGTATGGCAGGAAGGAGCCGTCTCCGCACAAACTGGGCGCTGCTGCTCTCACTCCCATTGTAGCCTCCGGCCATGCTGCCGTTCTCTCCGTGCGCGTTGGTGCCGATCACGCTGGAGTTCTCGGGGTAATCTGTGTATCCGTCTTCGCTGAATCCCATCGTCTCGTAGGGGGTGGGACTAACAGCAACGCTCCCTCCATTCATGTTGTTTTCTGTGTAACCGTTGCTGACAAAGCCGTTAGCATCGTGACTCTCGTACGGTACTCCTCCTACGCTGCCGGCCATCTCCACACCGAGACTGTTGTCTCCTGTCTCCGTTGGGCCTGGAGACACGGCACCTGGGTACGCAAACCTGCTGGAGGACAGAGACAGGAACAAGAGTGTTGGTTTGAGCAGCCGTCCCTCACCTCTGTCCTGAATCCTGTCCTTGTGTCTTACCTGTCTACTGATGGTAGATCTGCTGCACCTCCCTCGCTCACGTAAAGTTGCTCAGCTGCTCTACTTGCATCCAACATGGCTGCTTCCTCAGCTACAACCTCTTCTGCACCTGAAATCTCCATGGGAGGAGGCGGAGGAGGAGGTGACTCACTGTTGGAAGAAAGGAGATCAGTCCCATCAGGAAACAACTCTTCGAGGATTTTAATGAAGACGTTGGTGTGTGGACACGCACCGGATGGGCAGAGGCTCAGACCTGAGGGGTTGCACCGTGACCACGCTGACACCTGCCAGCTCGGATCCGGGTCTCTGGTGCTCCTCCAAGCCAGCCACCTGCTTGGTGATCACGCCCCCGTTGGTGATCCTGGGCTCGGGCTCGATGATCACAGCCGTCCGCTCCACCAGCAGGTCCAGAGGGGGAATCGGTGTGACGGCAGGCGTGGTGTTCACCGAGGTGCCGTGCTCACTATCAAAGATCTCATCAGCTGTCATCTCCCCCTCAGTGGCCTCCTCTTCTTCCAGGTCACAGGCCATGGCCAGGCGCATCTCCGGGGCCAGGTCCTGCAGCGTCCGCAGCCCTAGCTAAAGATGCACACTGTAGTTTCTAAAGCTGTGGAAGGCTTCTCTCCTAAAATACAGAGTCAGAAGCTGCTGGACCCGATTTTCATCCATGAGGATGTTTTCTTCTCCTCTAAGGAGGCTCATCAACTCTGACAGTTTTAGGTTTAAAGAGCAAGTCACCCCCTACCAGAGTCTAACTCCACTCCCACTTCATGTTTGAAAAATGCAACAAATGCTGTTGCCTGGCAGACCGAGAGGGCGGAGCCGCTAACAAATACACACACAGGCTCACAACGGCATTGTGACATCATAAGGACCAGTTGACATCGTAGCATACCTCTTAGCCAATAGCGGTGGCAGATTTAAATTCTAATGCAGTGCAGAGTTTTTACCTGACGACGGCACAACACTGCCAGTTTTAGGCAGAAAATTACAATTTTAACTAAAATGCACTAAAGTACAAAACTATTAATTACACGTGTCTGCAGCACGATTAGACACACATTTATATAGTTTATCAGAAAAAAAAGTTGATTTGGGGGTGACTTGCTCTTTAAAGACTGTTTTCATTACATTCAGCTGCAAAGATAATCAAAATGACTCAAAATTAACATCTGATTGCAACAAAAGGCCTGCTAGTTGCTGCAGGAATGTAAAAGCGCATCATCAGTCTTTCCTGACCCGAAGCTGAGTTTGGCGGCTGTACTTTGGGCTCGTGTAGAAACGTGGAGAAACAAGGTAGAACCTGCCAGTGGATGTCTGACATTTTGGCTAACAGAACATAATTCCCCCTACACCTGCATTCTCGGTTCTGCCTTGGAGCGAGCGTGGAAACACGTTTGTTCACGCACAGCCCCTGCTAGCGCCCCTTGCTGCTCACTCAAACTCACATCAGACCCTCTTTACTATGGAACGGTTTCCTTTTATGCAAAGCGTTAACAATCAGTTCCTTTTCAGATGAAAGGTGACCTCCGTGCTACGAGGGCAAACCCTTTCATCCGTGTTGATGTTTGCTTCACTCACCTGCAGAGCGGCTGCCTTGTCCTTCCTCTTGGATTTCCTCTCTCTTTCTTTCCTCTTGCGGAACTTTTTGAAGTAGTCTTGGATCAGAAAGCTGGCGTAAAATTTCCCACTGGTCACCTCATCTCCTGGAACAAAGTGTAAAGAAGGACACGTCACCTCTTGCTTTACGCGTGTTTCTCAGGGTTGGGACGTGTTTACTCATTTTTGTTGTTTACAGCACGATGTTTACTATTTAGATGAATTTCTTGCTGGAGAGTGTTGCAGGTTGCGTGACTCACCTCTAGGGGGCGGGATGATTTCATCAATGAGCTTGGGCTTGGTGTGCTTCCAGAGCTTCTTAATTACAAGCTTCAGCTCCTCGTTCTGCTGATCAACTGGTCCTGAGTGGGTCACAGACGACAGATCGTTAACAGAAACACGGTGTGTGTGTGTGTGTGTGTGTGTGTGTGTGTGTGTGTGTGTGTGTGTGTGTGTGCGAGTGTGTCCTGACCTTCAGTTTTAATCTTCAGAGAGGTTCGGACAAGAGCAAAGAGAGTAGCGTTGAAGGTGACCGTCCCATCAGGGTGCAGGGGGACGTTCATGGCAACTAGCCTCTGCCCGGACGAGAGGAAGCATTCTTACATGATGTGTGTGTGTGTGTGTGTGTGTGTGTGTGTGTGTGTGTGTGTTTACTCTGCAAGCGACACGATGAGGACACAGCTTTCCAAAACCCAGAGGTGGCTGAATCCTGCGCAACATGGTGACGACGTCGATGTGCTTAATGCGACCCCTGCATGAGAGGACCACATGTGTTTTAGTTTGGACACACACACACACACACACACACACACACACACACACACACACACACACACACACACACACACACACACACACACACACACATAAAAATAAAGGATTCTTACGTGGCCTCTGGGTCGTAGTCAGACCAAACCCTCTTAAACTCATCCAGGTGGTGCGTGCCGAGCACGGTCCAGTCTCTGGTCAGATACTCAAAGTTGTCCATGATGACAGCAATGAACAAATTAATAATCTGAGAAAAATTGAAAGAGTAGTGATCAGTCCAACGTTTTGTTTTTGACGGAGTCTTGTGACGCAGGTTCCTGAGAGGGATGTTTATTTTCAGCTGCCGGTGTTTCGCTGGGCTTACAAAGGTCAAGGACCACATGTAGAGAGATGGATGATTGAGGAGAAACCAGGTCACATGTTGGATCACCCGGATCTGAACCTGGAGGGTGGTTTAGCTAATGGAAGCATGACATAAACCATGTGGAGAGGCTCAGATCCACCAAACAAAGCTGCTCCTGCTGACCAGTGGCTGCTGTTCCTGCCACACAATTTAAAGAAGGAGCAAGAATAAAACATAACAGAGGAGGAAAAAGTCCTCCTCCTGCCCTCTCAGCTATTGCTGATTGCTCCTCATCTTCAGTTTCCACTCTAGAGACACAAACACCACCGGCTCACGGGAGACGGTGTTTCACACGACACGGGCTGTTTCGTCTTTAAAACGCGTGCACGATAGCATAACAGCTCATTATCTGCAGCAGAAGAGCAGAATGTGGTGAAAACGTTTTATTTACAAGTGTTTACAAGAGCCAGGATCCTCTGGAGGTTTCTTCCTGTTAAACGGGAGTTTTCCTCTCCACTGTCGCTGCATGCTTGCTTAGTATGAGGATTGCTGTATAGTCACTGACACTAGTCAGTGACTTGATGCAATTTGCTGGGTTCCTTATATAGGACACATTATTTCTGATTGGCTTAATGACCTGACCTGAATTGGAATGTTTATTATGTGAAGTGCCTTGAGACGACTCTTGTCGTGATTTGGCGCTTTATAAATAAACTTGAATTGAATTGAATTGAATTTTGTGACTTAAGCCTGATTTATGCTTCTCCGTCTGCGTCAGTGCGGAGACACGCAAGTACGTACGGAGTCGAGCCCACTTTTTCAAACATCCGTCGAACGAGACGGATTACGCAAGCTTGTGATTGGTCAGGACGCCGCTGTTGTTTACGGCGCCGCCATTGCAAAGAGAGCCGAGGATAACTAGCGGCAGACACGGAGAAGGTTGAAGAATACCTCGCGAAAAAACTCTAAAAACATGAACGTTTAATTCCCCCGTGACTGGAGGAGTGAAAAGATGCGCAGCAAGCGTTTTATTTGTGGACGGAAATGACAGGAAACGTGGGTTTAGAGGTGGGGAGCGCATGAAGCGGTGGGAGAATGAGAGACAAATATGTCCGTGTTAAAAGTCTCTTATATACACAAAAACACAATATAAACACACGATCTTGGACCGATACATGACAGGATACCACAGAACAGCGCTACGCCCTCTGCTGTCCTGCCGGGCAATGGCTTTGCAACACTCCCCAGGAGACGGAGAAGTATGAGAGCAAAACGCTTCCGTCAATCCGTGCGTGTCTGTCCCTCGTGGAGCTGACGGAGAAGCATGAACCAGGCTTTAGATGGAGAAGCTGAACACGAACGCGTCTTTAAACGCCAAAGATCTCTTAAGAACCTAGTCCTGTTCTGACGCAGGTGTGCTTCAGGGATTTTGTTAATCCACGGATGTGAAGGTCCACAAACATCTGCAGGTATGCTACGGTTGCGATGATGTCACCTGTCAGCACAGCCCGATTGATTCCACCTGAAGACTAGCTGGCAGAGAAGCGATAACGAACACCGTCAGTCCTCACCAGGTAGGCGCAGAGCATGAAGAAGCTGATGAAGTAGATGTAGGCCAGGTTGCTTCCACAGGTGAACTCTTCACCTGGTTCCGTGTCAGACTCAGGGTCACAGCGTCTGCCGGGCAGAGCGGCCAACATGATCTCCTGCCACTGCTCTCCAGTGGCACACCTGCAGCCAAAGGTCTCAGAAGAGTCAGTCCAGCTACAGCTGGTGGTGTGATTAAAACGAAACGGATGAAAGAAAACAAACTGCAGCCCGTTTGCTCACCTGAAAAGAACCAGGACAGCCATGAAGAACGTCTGGAAGTTGCAGTTTCTGTTGATTTCTGTGTCGTCGTCGATGGCTATTTTCCCAAACATCTAGCAGACAGCCAGGAGTTTGAGTTGTTTTACTGTTTCGGGTCTGCTCCACATTAAACAGGTCGGCGCGTGTCTGCTCAGACGCTCACCTGCATGCCAATCACGGCATAGATGAAGAAGATCATGGCGATGAGAAGGCCGACGTAAGGCAGGGCCTGAGCAGGAGCAGAAGGGCGGTGAGCACCAGCAGAGGAAACACGCTGCATCACCTGGACTCACCCACCTGCAGGGACTTGACGAAAGTCCAGAGCAGCGTTCGGATGCCCTCTCCTTTGCTTAGCAGCTTAACCAACCGCAGCACTCGGAATAACCGGAAGAAGGTGATGGACACTTTTCCGTGCTCTCCTTTCCCCCCACCCTAGAAGAAGCAGCTGGTTAGATTAAGAGTGGGTGGATGTATGATAAACGGGGACAAAAGCCATTCCTCACCTCCCCGTGACCTCCTCCTCCCTGATCAGTCAGCAGGAAACAGAAAGAGTTTCACTTTTAGGCGAAAACACAGCAGCTTTTCAAACACCCAGTCCCTTTGCTAGCCAGAGTTTTATTTACATAGTTTTAGATTTTGCAGTAGCACTATCCTGGAAAGGCAGAGGGCAGTAAAAAGCAGGGCTCGCTTTATGGGGGGGGCTAGGGGGAGCCTGCTCCCCCAGAGCGGGCGGAGTTAGCTAACCCTACCAGGACCACGTTCAGGCTTTATATGTCGATGGTGGAAACTCAAATGTTGTTTTGTTTGCACTTTTTAATCATGCTCCTCATCAAAGGAGGCAAACAGGA